AAAGAAGAGAGGAGAGCGGAAGAAACTGAACGAAAGGCAAGTAAAAGAGCAAGAAGAGGAAGAGAGAGAGAGAGAGAGAGAGGCGGAGCGGGGAGGAGAGGAGGAGGGAGGGGAGAGAGGAGGAAGGGGAGAGAGGAGGGAGGAGGGAGAGGAGGGGGCCAGTTTACTACAACCGCTGACAGTTACGACATCCTATGAGCTATTATGAGCTACAGATAGGAAGTAGATATGCCTTATCAGTCCTCTCGAAATGCGGGGCGCCCTGTGGATCTACCGCGCGGGCCCCTGAGGTTAATCACTGAAGGACAATTTGTATAAGGAAATGGTGAGGAGATTGGCCCTGGAGGCGTGTGGGGTCGGGGNGTGAGAGAGGGGATAAGGTGGTTATGTGAGTTGAGGGAAGGGAGGAGAGGGGAGGGGAAGAGAGGTGGAGGTGTTATTTGTAGTGTGAACCAGAGGGAGGAAGGATGAGTGTGGTGAGTGTAGAGAGGATAATAATATATAACAGGTAAGTTGAAGATAGGTGTGAGAAAGGGAGTGAGAGATAGAGGAATGAGGGGAGTAGGTAGTAGGAGATAGGAGGGAGTGAGGATAATAAGTAGAAGCTGAGGGAGAAGGTGATAGATAGAGGGAAGGGAGTGATAGTAAGATAATAATAGAGGGAAAGGAGGGGAGTAGTTTGAAGGAGAGTGGGAGTGAGTGAGGGAGAGGAGGAAGGGAGGGGAGGGAGGGGAGGATAGAGTAGGGAAGGGAGGGGAGAGGAGGGGAGGGGAGGCCAGCCAACCAGCAGCAACAGTCGGCTAAGTATCTTATCTCTCTCTCTCCTTCGCCTCTGTTTCAGCGCAGGAAAGCCTCCGTTTGTTATCCTTATCAGCTGCAAATAATTCCGGTTGCATCACCGCTTCTCCGCCGGATGGGAGGGGGAAGGGGGAAGGGGAGGGGAAGGGGAAGAGGGAAAGGATGGAGGGAATGAGGGGAGGGAAGGGGAGAGAGGAGAGGGGAGGGAGAGAGAGGAAGAGGAGGAAGAGGGAGAGAGAGGAGAGAGGGAGGGGAAAGGGGGAGAGGGAATGGAAGGGGAAGGGGAGGGGAGGAGGGGGAGAGGGGGAGAGGGGGAGAGAGGAGGAAGGGGAGGAAAGAGAGAAAGGGGGGAGGAGAGAGGAGAGGGGGAGAGAGAGGAAGAGGGAGAGGGGGTGAAAGAGGGGAAGGGAGAGAAGAGGAAGAGGGAGAGAGGGAGAAGGGGAGAGGGAGAAGGAAGAGGGAGAGGGGGTGGAAGAGGGGCAGGAGGAGAGGGGGTGGAGAGGGGGAGGAGGGAGAGAGGGGGAGAAGAACGGGAAGGAATTCCTCGTATTCTATGCCTGAGATTTTACCTTTTTTTTTTTTTTTTTTTCTTGTCTTCAAAAAAGTGATGAGATTTTGTTATTTTTAGTTTTTTCTTTCATATGTTTTTTTTTTTCTTTTTCTCTTTTTCGCCTCATGTTGTTATTGTTCCTTTTCCGTAATTCCTTTATTTCTTTAATTTAAGTTTTCATTCACTTTCAATTAAAAGAAATCAGTTAGATTAAAAAGAAAAAAAAAAATAGAACTCTGGACCCCCCCCCTTTTTTTTTTTAAAGCAAAACGACATTTTTAAAAACATTCAAAACATTGGTTTAGCCCGAAAATGAAAATTAGATGAAAATAAAGACAAAATATTTGGTAAACCGAAAACAAAACATCGAAAATAGCAACAACAACAACAACAAAAATAGAAGAAACGAAGAAAAAAATAGAAAAAAAAAGAAACTAAACAAGAAGAGACAAATCTAACAATAGACAAATAAACCTAAAACCTAGAGACGAAAGAAAAAAAAACAATTCAAAAATGTTTTCGCTCCAAAACATTCAAATATTCATCACGGGAACAAGATCTCGACATGGATCTCGCTTCTCGCTCCGAACTGTGCTGGATCTGGTAATAATTCCGAACAATTGATGCAACTTTGAGAGAGATTCCCAAAATGTCGTATTTTTCTCTTTTTTTTTTTTCTCTCTCTCGCTTTTTCTTCTGTCGAGAGAATCGTCTAGATGCTAAATGATGCAACGGAGGTGTAATATGACAAATATCTCTTTGATAAATAGATTTACTCGACGTGTTTACTCCTTTGTGCGTGTGGAGAAAAAAGAAAAAGAATTGTATTTATTTTACATTCGAGTGACATGGACTTTTTCTAGATTTTTCTCTCTCTTTTTTGACATTCTTTGAAGATGTTGTGTTTGGAAATTCACAAAGAAAAAGTAGGAGAAGGGGAAGAAAAAAAAGGAAGTTAGGTAAGGAGGTAAATCGATAGATAGACAGATGGATGGATAGATAGATAGATAGATAGATAGATAGATAGATAGATAGATAGATAGATAGATAGATAGATAGATAGATAGATATATATTAGATAGATAGATAGATAGATAGATAGATAGATAGATAGATAGATAGATAGATAGATAGATTAGATAGATAGATAGATAGATAGATAGATAGATAGATTAGATAGATAGATAGATAGATAGATAGAAGATAGATAGATAGATAGATAGATTGAAAGATAGATAAGATTGATAGATTTGATAGATTGATAGATTGATAGATTGATAGATTATAGATTGATTGATAGATTGATAGATTGATAGATTGATAGATTGATAGATTGATAGATTGAATAGATTGATAGATTTGATAGATTGATAGATTGATAGATTGATAGATTGATAGATTGATAGATTGATAGATTGATAGATTGATAGATTGATAGATTGATAGATTGATTAGATAGATAGATTGATATAGATTGATAGATTGATAGATTGATAGAATTTGATAGATTGATAGATTGATAGATTGATAGATTGATAGATTGATAGATTGATAGATTGATAGATTGATAGATTGATAGATTGATAGATTGATAGATTGATAGATTGATTGATAGATTGAAGATTGATAGATTGATAGATATAGATTGATAGATTGATAGATTGATAGATTGATAGATTGATAGATAGATAGATAGATAGATAGATAGATAGATGGATAGATGGATAGATGGATAGATGGATAGATAGGTAGATTGATTGACTAATATACTGATCATTGATTGATTGATAAAACGGACCGATAGATAGACAGACAGGTAGATACATGCATATACAGATAGATATAACCACTATTAAAAAATAAAGATATAAATTTGATATAGAAGAATATTAGACATATACAACATCACAACAAATGTTCACAAGCACGATATAGACTAAATATCAGAGAAGCAGTTGATATAGAAGGATCTTAGACATATATAACATCTCATCAAATTCTCACAAGCATGTAAATTAAATATCATAGAAGCAGTTGATATAGAAGGATCTTAGACATATATATATACAACAAATTCTCACAAACATGTAAATTAGATATCAGAGAAGCAGAATACCTAGAGAAGACAAGCGAGTACCTTGCGTGCGTTTCCTCGCGTTGAATATGTCATACCTTGGCTTGGAGTATCACTTGAGGGAGGGCCAGAGGGTGCCAGGGGGGTGCCAGGGAGCGTAGGAAGGTTTCAGGGAGTACAGGAGGGTGCCAGGGAGTACAGGAGGGTGCCAGGGAGTATTACAGGAGGGTTGGAGGGTGCCAGGGAGTAAAGGAGGGTGCCAGGGAGTACAGGAGGGTGCCAGGGAGTACAGGAGGGTGCCAGGGAGTACAGGAGGGTGCCAGGGAGTACAGGAGGGTGCCAGGGAGCGGGGGAGGGTTTCAGGGAGTACAGGAGGGTGCAGAGTACAGAGGGTGCCAGGGTAGGAATGTTCCAGGAGTACAGGATGCCAGGAGTAGGGAGTACAGGAGGGTGCCAGGGAGGAGGGTGCCAGGAGTACAGGAAAGGAGTACAGGGTGCCAGGGAGTACAGGAAGGGTGGTGCCAGGGGATGCAGGGAGCGTATGAGGGTTTCAGGAGTTTCAGGGAGTACAGGAGGGTGCCAGGGAGCGGGGGAGGGTTTCAGGGAGTACAGGAGGGTGCCAGGGAGTACAGGAGGGTGCCAGGGTGCGTAGGAATGTTTCAGGAAGTACAGGAGGGTGCCAGGGAGTACAGGAGGGTGCCAGGGAGTACAGGAGGATGCCAGGGAGTACAGAAGGGTGCCAGGGGATGCCAGGGAGCGTATGTTTCAGGGAGTACATTGCCAGGGAGTACAGGAGGGTGCCAGGGAGCGTAGGAGGGTTTCAGGGAGTACAGGAGGGTGCCAGGGAGCGTAAGGAATGTTTCAGGAGATACAGGTGCCAGGAGTACAGGGGGTGCCAGATGGTTTCCAGGAGTACAGGGGCGGGGGAAGTAGAGGGTGCCAACGGGTGCCAGAGAAGTGTCGAAGGCTTGAATACGTCATGGGTGTTCAGCGTTCTCGAGTGTGTGCGTGTGTGTTCATTCATGCGTCTGTGCTACTGTGGGTACGTATTGGTTGTACGTGTGTTTGTTTGTTTTTGTTTGTTTGTTTGAGGAGGGGGGTTTGGGGGGGGGCCTACTTTACTCATTCTTTTGGGGGCATTTGGGACGACTTACTCACTCTGAGGGGGGGGGATCTTTACTCATTCTTACTCACTCACTGACTTACTGATAGCTTAAAGGGTTGTTTATGAGTCCCGCTGAATGAGTAAATGATTGACGGAATGTGAGTGAGTGAGTGATGGAATGAGTGAGATTTTGAGTGAGTGAGAAAGTGAATGAGTCAGAGAATGAGTAAGTATAAGTGGTTGAGTAAATGAGAATGGGAAGAGTGGGAGTTGTATGAATGAGGGAATGAGTGAGTAAATTTATGAGTCAAATGAAAAAGATGAGTGAGTGAATGATGAATGAATGAATTTGCAAAACGAATGAGTGAATGAGTCAAATAATTGCGTTCTTATTGTTGTTATCATCATCATCATCAATATTTTTGAAGTGAGTAAAGTCAGTCAGATGATTTTTTTGTGTGTGTTTGTGTTATTATTTGTTATTATTATTATTATTATTTTATTATTATTATTATTGTTGTGTTATTATTATTATGTGTTTTTATTATTCTTATCATCATCATCAATATTTTTGAAGTGAGTAAAGTCAGTCAGATGATATTTTTTTTGTGTGTGTGTGTGTTATTCTTATCCTTTTTGTTTTTGTTTTTCCTTCGTTAGATTTCTTCTCAAACTTTACCCCCCCCCCTTCTGTTTTCCTCTTGAAATTCTTAAGAAATTGAGGGGAAAGAAAAAAGTTTTTTTTTCCTGTCATCTTATCTTCGTAATGATAATAATAATAATAATGATAATAATAATGATGATAATGATAACGATAATAATATGATAATATAATAATAATAATAATAATAATAATAATAATAATAATAATATAATAATAATAATAATAATAATAATAAATAATATAATATAAATAATAAATAATAAAATAATAAATAATAATAATAATAATAAATAATAATTAATATAATAATAGTAATACTGATGATAAGGAGATGACAATAATATAATATGAATAATAATAGTAGTAGTATAACGAACTAAAAGGGTGTTGAAAATTATTTCTTCCTCTAACACTCCTCACCTTTCTTTTACTTCCCCCTTCGCTCTCCTCTCTCTTTCTCCTCTTTCTCTCTCTCGCTCTCTCTCTCACTCACTCACTCTCTCACTCTCTCTCTGCTCTCTCTCTCTCTCTCTCTCACTCACTCATCCTCTCTCTCTCTCTCTCTCTCTCTCTCTCTCTCTCCTCTCTCTCTCTCCTCTCCTCTCTCTCTCTCTCTCTCTCTCCCTCTCTCTCTCTCTGTCTTCTCTCTCTCTCTCTCTCTCTCTCTCTCTCTCTCTCCTCTCCATTCCTCTCTCGTCTTCCTCTCTCTCTCTCTATCTCTCTCCTCTCTCTCTCTCTCTCCTCTCTCGTCTCACTCTCCCTCTATACTCTCTCTCGTGTCGTTCTCTCTCTCTCTCTCTCTCCTCTCGTACTCATCTTCTCGTCTCTCTCTCTCTTCTCTCTCTCTCTCTCATCTCTCTCCCTCTCTCATCCCTCTCTCTCTCTCTGTCTTTCTCTCCTCTCTCTCTCTCTCTTCTCTCTTCTCTGCTCTTCTCCTTTCTCCTCTCTTCTCCTCCTCTCTCTTTTCTTCTCTCTCCTCTCTCTCTCTTTCTCACTTCATTCACTCTCTCCCTCTGTCCTTCTCACCCAAACCTCTCCTCTTTCTCTCTCCCTCGCCTCCCTCTCATTCACCTCAAACTCACTTCCCTCTCCTCCCTCCTCTACTCTTAACAGATTTTTATTCCTCCCTCTCAACCCCAATTCTTTTCCACCCTCTTTTTTTTCTCTTCTCTCTCTCATCTTTTCTCTCTCCTTTTAACTTTTAAACGCCTCGGCTACTTCTCTCGACCAGCTTCAACAAGGGCTTCGGGGCTTCAGATCCCGCCCGACCGAGGCTTCAGAAAAGAGCAATCATCATCTCCATTTTATCAAAGGTCAATTCATCAAGTCAGTTCATCAGAATCTAATCAGAACTTGGAACTTCTTGATCGAGGGAACCGGGTGAAAAATAGAGAGGGTGGGAGGGAGAGGGTTGGAGAAAGAAGGGTTGGATGGAAGGGGAGAGGGAGAGGGAAGGAGGGTGGGGGAAGGGGGGACGGGGGATTGGGAGGAGGGAGTGGGGATTGGGATGAGGGAGAAGGGAGAGGGTGGGGGAGGGATTGGAGGGAGCGAAGAGGGAGGGAGGGGAAGAGGAGGGGAGCGGGAGGGGAGAGGGGAGTGGGAGGGAGGGACTGGAATGGAAGAGGGTGTGGGAAGGAGGAGGGAGAAGGTGGGCGAGAGAAAGAACGGGGGGGGGGGGGGTGGCAGGGGGGGGGGGGCGGGGTTGGGGAGGAGGGAGGGAGGGAGGGAGATGAAGTAGAAGAAAAAAGGTTAAAGAAAAGAGCGTTGAGAGAGAGAGAGAGAGAGAGAGAGAGAGAGAGAGAGAGAAGAGAGAGAGAAAGAGAGAGAGAAGAGAGAGAGAGAGCGAGGAGAGAGAGAGAGAGAGAGTGAGAAAATTGGGAAAGGGAGGGTAAAGGATGGAGGGAGGGATAAATAGGGGGTGGGGGGAGAGGGATAATAGATTAAGTTTTATGGTTCTCTTTCCTTTTCTAAAAATGATTGATAATATATAATTATGTACATGGGATAATGATATAAATGATGAATGATGAATGAATGAAATTGAATAATAATAATGATGATAATAAATAATAATGAATAATAATGATGTATAATAATAATAATAATTATAATAATAAATCAACGATAATAACAAAACAATATGATGATAATGACAATAAATCAATATTAATAAATCTTAATTAACGATAATACTAAAGAAAAAGATTAAGAANTTAAAGTGACAAGAAAATTATTAACTGTAGCCGAAGCCAAGGTCAACATGGCCCTAAGATCAACGTATCTTCGAGGAATCGGATCACGTGTCCCAACATGGCTTAGAACCACGGTCAACATGGCTGATTAACTGATTAACTAGATTCATATTGAGAACGAGCAGATCATGGACAAAATACCTTTATGTTTCATATGAACTCCTTAGCTTCCCAGTCCCCCCGAGAAATAAATCAATATTTTACAGGAGGTACCTTTTTAAACTTTGGCGCCATTTTTTGTGCGCATCCCGAATGTCTTTTGTTTTGCCGTCGAAAAATGTCTGCCGTTGTTGCCCACTTCGCTTCTTCGTTTCAGTGTAACGCATGGGGAAAGGCTAGATCAGTAGCAACTCGGGGAGGTGTCATGGCGTCTGGTTCTATTTTTGGAAAGCAAAAAGCACATGGGGTTTATTTTGATGACGTCACAAATGTTACGGATGTTTGTGAATATGGTCGATCATTTTGGTCTCTTCAGTTTTCAAAAGGAATGGAAAATGATGACCTTAATGGTTATATTTTCACTGAACAGTCATCAAAACAGACGCCATGACACCTCGAGTTGCTACTGATCTGTCAAAGACCGCGGTGATACAGAATCCACAGCGTAACAGCTTTATTTAAAGGGGAGAAGGATATAATAGGTTTAACGAATGGAAAACGTTTAATACACTATCGTCTTCTACTCTCTGTCTCTCTTCTTTCTAGTCCTATCCCTCCTTTGTTTTGTTTTCTATCATTTTCGTTGTTGTTCCTCTCCTACCTTTAACCACGAACCGACCACCCACACACACACAACCCCCACACAGCCACCCACTCTCACACTCAAACACACAACCCACACATACACAGCCACCCACTCACTCACTCTCTCTCTCACACACACACAACCCACCCGCACACAACCCCAACCCACACACAAACACCCCCACACACACAACCCCACCCCACATATCCACCCAACCTAACCCCTCCCGCCCCCCCCCCCCCTCCCCACACACACATACACAGACAAAACACACACTTTGACAAACTCCCTCCGACCGACCGCTGTTCCTTCACCACCCACAATGACCTAGGTAGTGGAAGTGGTTGTGTGGTTACAGCGCATACAAAGGCACTCATCACCGCCCCCAACAATGTGGTCCTCCCCCGCAACATAGGTGGGGAGAGGGGAGAGGGGGAGAGGGGAAGAGGGGGAGAGGGGGAGAAGGAGAGGGTGGGGGGCGTGGGAGGTGGAGGGAAGTTGAGAGGGAGGGAAGGGTAAGAGAGATAGAGATGGAGAGAGAGGGAGGGATAGGAGGGTGAGAGAGGGATGGGGGAAGGGGGAGGATAGGAAAGTCGGTATGGAAAAATGAGAGAGAGAGAGAGAGAGAGAGAGAGAGAGAGAGAGAGAGAGAGAGAGAGAGAGAGAGAGAGAGAGAGAGAGAGAGAGAGAGAGAGAGAGAGAGAGAGTGGGGAGAATGTAATAATAAGGAAGAGGGAAGATGAGAAAGAAGGAAGGATAAGAGAGGAGGTGGGAGAGAGGGGGGGGGAGTGGCTTAGGGCAAAGGGTAGGAAGGGAAACGGCAAGGGGGGTGGGGGTGGGGGGTAGGGAGACGATACCTTCCTGAGTACAATAGTCGTAAACCATCACAGTACCTGAAGCACAAGACGCACATAACCTTCACCTCTCTCGTCAGGCATCGATAGAGGCCAATTTAGCTTGCGCCTTGCTCTTCGGGGCTTGCGTATCCAAACCATTCCTCCACCTTTTGCTATCCCTCCTTTTCTTTTCCTTTTTCTTCTTCTCCCC